AGAAACATAGTTTTAAAGAAAATCTCTGCCAATCAATCGTCACGACATGCACGACACAAACAAAACCCTTTGTTTCAGATTCTGTCATGATAGATATCTTGGAATTTCAGAAGTCCTTGTAAATATGTGATATTGAAGTAGTTGAAGTTGACTCTGACGTTTCGAGTACCCTTGATGGAACTTTTGAGGCCTTCCTAAAAAATTCTATCCTAGTAAATGTTTTAAAAGAAATTTGACGGTAATCACGAAGGTCATGAATATCTTGCAATTTTTTGATATTTCCTTAAAATCATACTCTAATCGGATATTTTGATATGATCTTTGACCCTTGTTTGTAAAAAAGAACTCTCCGTGTAGGATTTTTTAGATCCTCTCAAAAATTCTGTCCCAGTTTCCATTATTAAGGGAAATGGAAATCTTACTGGGAATATGACCGAACGCTTGTGGCGCCTACGTATCCCGTTGAGGCAGGAATCAGGTCAAACGTATTTCCCCTATCGATGGTTAACATGAATAAGAAATTTTGATAAGAAAACGATCGAGGCCGACATAGGCCGCCTACGTATCTCATTTTTGAGAATTCAGGTCGAACGTAGTTCAAATACAGAAGGAATGTCCCAAAGATTAATGCGACAAATATTACAAACAAATTGCGATTACAAGGAAATAAAGGAAAGAAATAACATTCTTCAAATGTAATATCTCTTGACGGCATCTGAATTGATAGCTTTTCTCCATACTCTACCGTCCATCTCTACTAGGACCAAAGCTCCTTTTGACAGTACTTTGTGGACAACATACGGTCCTTGCCAGTTAGGTGCAAATTTCCCTTTATATTCCTCTTGATGAGGGAAAATTCACTTCAACACCAATTGACCTACCTCAAATGTTCGAACTCTTACTTTCTTGTTGAAAGCACCAATCATTCTCTATTGATACAACTGGCCATGACAAACGACACTCATTCTTTTCTCATCAATAAATGTTAACTGCTCATATCGATCACGAACTCATTCGGCATCACTCAATCCAGCTTCCTGAATAACCCTCAAAGACGGTATCTCAACTTTAGCCGGTATCACTTCCTCTGTTCCGTATACTAACAAATACGGAGTTGCTCCAGTTGAAGTTTGAATTGTGGTGCGATAATCTAGCAAGGCATAAGGCAAATTTTCATGCCAACATTTGTAGTTGTCAATCATCTTTCTCAATATCCTCTTGATGTTCTTATTGGCAGCTTCCACAACTCCATTCATTTGAGGACGATATGCAGTTGAATTACGGTGGGTAATTTTGAATTGTTCGCATATCTCTTTCATCAAATGACTGTTAAGATTTGCACCATTGTCCGTGATGAGATAATCAGGAACTCCAAAACGACATATCAAATTATTGCAAACAAAATTAGTCACAACTTTCTTCGTCAAAGCTTTTTAGAAAGCAGCTTCGACCCACTTTGTGAAATAATCAACGGCGACCAAAATAAACCTATGACCATTGGAGGCCGCAGGCTCAATTAGTCCAATAACATCCATGCCCCATGCTACAAATGGCCAAGCAGAACTCATTGCATTGAGCTCGTGAGGAGGCACTTTGATAAGAACTCCATGTACCTGACATTTATGACATCTTTGGACAAATCGAACACAATCATTTTCCATAGTCATCCAGAAGTATCCTGCCCTTAAGATTTTCTTTGCTAATGTAAACCCATTCATATGCGTCCCGCACATTCCAGCGTGCACTTCTTCGAGCAATTTTGTGGCTTTTACAGCATCCACACATAGTAGTAATCCCAGATCAGGAGTCCTCCTATAAAGAATCTCCCCATTCAAAAAGAAGTTGTTTGTCATTCTTCGAATTGTTTTCTTTTGGATGCTTGTTGCTTTTTACGGGTATTCACTAGCTTCTAAGTACCTTTTCACATCGATATACCATGGATTTCCATCCGATTACTTTTCCACATGTAAACAATGCACTGGTTGTTCTTTTAAACCTATCTCAAGTGGGTCAATGTAACTCTTTTTTGGGTGTTGTATCATGGAGGATATGGTTGCGAGAGCATCAACAAACTCATTTTGTATTTTCGGGGTGTGTTTGAACTCGGTCTTCCTAAATCTTTTACATAACCTCCATACCAGTTGTACGTAAGGTAATATTTTAGGATTCTTCACGGCCCATTCTCCTTGAACTTGATGAATCAACAAGTCAGAATCACCAATTATTAGTAATTCTTGGATGTTCATGTCAAGAGCCATTCTGATGGCGAGAAAACAAGCTTCGTACTCAGCCATGTTATTAGTGAATCGAAATCTAAGCTTTGCTGTTGCTGGAAAATGGTGTCCTGATTCAGATATCAATACTGCTCCAATTCCTGATCCTCTAGAGTTAACTGCTCCATCAAAGATCATTCTCCAACCAGGATATGATCTGATATGTCTTCCCCTACAAACATTACTTCATCATCAGGGAAATACATTTTAAGTGGTTCATATCCTTCATTTACTGGGTTTTCAACAAGGTGATCGGCTAAGGCTTTGCCCTTGATTGCTTTCTGAGTCATGTATACAATGTCAAACTCACTCAACAACATTTGCCATTTTGATAGCTTTCCTGTGGGCATTGCCTTCTGAAATATGTACTTGAGTGGGTCCATTCTTGAAATAAGATATGTTGTATAAGCCGACAGATAATGTCTAAATCTTTTAGCAACCCAAGTCAAAGCACAACAAGTTCTCTCTAAGAGGGTATAACGAGCCTCATACGATGTGAACTTCTTGCTCAAGTAGTATATAGTTATCTCCTTTCTTCATAGTTTCATCATGTTGTCCCAACACACACCCAAATGCATTGTCAGAGACGGATAGATACAACAACAAAGGACTACCCGCGCGTGGTGGCACCAATACTGGCGGATTTAAAAGGTAACTTTTGATAGTGTCAAAAGCCTTTTGACATTCCTCGGTCCACTTGGTTGGCGCATTCTTTCGTAACAACTTGAATATGGGCTCACAGATCACCGTTGATTGGGCTATGAATCGACTGATGTAATTCAGTATCCCCAGAAAACTTATTACTTCCTTCTTAGTCTTTGGAAGAGGCAATTCTTGAATTGTCTTGATCTTGGAAGGATCAAGCTCGATACCTCTTCTACTAATTATGAAAGCGAGTAACTTCCCTGCAGGTACTCCGAATGCACACTTGGCTGGGTTGATCTGAACTCTCGCGGGATTTTATGATGACATCGTCCACATACACCTCAATTTCTTTGTGGATCATATCATGGAATATGGTGGTCATAGCTCTAATATAAGTGGCTCCAGCATTCTTGAGGCCGAACGACATCACTCGATAATGGTAGACTCCCCAAGGGGTGATGAATTCTGTTTCCTCTGCATCTTCTTCATCCATTAAGATCTGGTGGTATCCCGCAAAACAATCCACGAAAGATTGCAACTCATGCTTGGCACAATTATCAATGAGTATATGGATGTTTGGCAACGGGAAATTGTCTTTTGTACTTGCTTTTGTTGAGATCCCGATAATCCAGCCATATCCTAATCTTTCCATCTTTCTTCGCTACTGGAACAATGTTAGACAACCAAGTGGGATACTTAGTCACTTCGACGACCTTCGATTCGATTTGCTTCACGACCTCTTCCTTTATTCTTAAACTCAGATCAGGTTTGAACTTTCTGGTTTTCTACTTTACCGGACAATACTCTGAATTGATAGGCAACCTATGTGAAACAATATCAGTGCTTAATCTTGGCATATCATCATAAGACCAGGCAAGCACATCGATGTATTTTTTGAGCAGCTTGACCAATTTTTCCTTTTCTATTGCTGTCAAATGGATACTGACTCGGGTTTCTCTAACCGACTCGTCATCTTCTAAGTTGACTATCTCTGTCTCATCCAGGTTGGGATTTTTATTATCTGCAAGGTTCCTCAAGTCGTCAGTAAGGTGTTCAGGCATCATAGTTTCCTCATCATATTCTTCACATTCATCTTCATTGACTTTACTTAGTTCGTCGTGTTCGTGACATGTCATGACATTGGCAAGTTTAGATTCATTTTTACTGAAAATAAAATAAAGCAATCATGTTAGATAGAAAGAATTTAAATGTATATATTAGAAAGTAATTTGCAGAGGCAAGATAAAAAAATAAACGAGGCTTTTCATTGGAAAAAAGGCGTACAAACTTTGATCATGACTCATGTCAATGTGAGTCATTTCTTTTTTAAACATTACGATGAAAATAAAGTGACATAAAAGGTTGTATCGGGCCTCGTCCGAACTACACCGATTTTCAAAAGTAAAACTTCAAATCTTGTCTTTGTCTACCAAGAAATTTGATGAATCATAAGTGGAGTGGCCACCCAATTCTGTAGCATCTCTTCAGGTTTGGCATCTCGGATGGTGGGTGCCGCAGTGCATTCTTCCAAGATCACAACACAATCTCCTTCATTAAACAATCGTCCCATCCCTTCCACTAGACCATCACTCTCGGACACTAAAGCTTTAGCAACAAATAACTGGTACAATTCTAGAATAGGCTTTGGTATATCAAGGCCATGTTTCTTCCTTGCTTCTACTTTGAATAATTCCTCTTTTGTTGGGGTATAACCAACGCCAAAGCGGAAATTTTGAAGTGGGATAGGAAGGGGTTCAGATATGCCATCCAAATTCTTGCCCAACCCACGTCCAGGCTCAAAACCACTTTTTAGCATGGTTGTGACAAGCATTTTATACACCGACGGAATTGGTGTTTGCGGTGTTATATCTTCAAAAGAAGCATTCATTATCTCCACCATGTGAAAGTCAATACCTTGAGATGAATCGTCAATAACGGGAATAGAGAAGCCAGGGTAACTACGATTACTCCCTTCACCATGAATGACAATTTCATGGTCCTCCCAGATGAACTTCAAGATTTGATGCAATGTGGATGGAAATGTTCCAGCCGCATGGATCCATGGTCTTCCCAGCAACATCTTTAGCTTGTGGATATACCCATCACTTGGAATTCAGTGACAAATTCTGCAGGCCCCATTTGGATACACAAGTCTACCTCTCCCATGGTCTCTCTTTGCGAACCATCAAACGCCCTTACATTCATGCGACTTCGACGGATTTTTCCAACATCATGATTTAGCTGAGTAAGGGTTGATAACGGGCAAATATTGAGTCCTGAACCATTATAAATCAGTACTCGAGCTACAAACTGGTCCCTGCATTTGACAGTGATATACAAGGCACGATTGTGCATCATTCCCTCAATTGGTAATTCCTCTTTTCGAAAAAGAGATTTTGGTGACTCCCAATGACATGACTAACCATAGTTGCCAGATTATCACCACTTGTTCCCGTCGGTACATATTTTTCATCGAGTTCCTTAAACAATGCTTTCCGATGGTACTCAGAACTTATCAATAGAGCCCAAACAGAAATTTGAGCGGGAGTTTTCTCCAAATGCTTGACAATGTAATACTCCTTAAGCTACATTCTTCGCCAAAACTCTTCAGCCTCACCTTCTGTGATTGGCCTTTTTTGGTTCTCCTTTCTTTGTGTTTCTTAAGCTAACTCTTTCGGAATATAACATCTTCCAGAACGTGTCATCCCTTGAGCTGTAGCCGCCTGGACAATGAAATTTTCTTTGGGATGCTCGTTGCTTCTTTCCTTTGCCAAAGAAAATGCCTGATGAGGTGCAGTTATTACAACAAACTCTGGATGAGCCTTTATAGCCAAAGAGGCCACTGTTGGTATGAGTGAGTTGACATTTGTTTTACAGATGGTCCCATTAGCGAGCTAATCTTCATCACTTTCAATCCTATTGATGGTCACTTCCCCATGATTCGGTAATGGGTTAAGATTCACATTGGGGGAAGGGGCCTGAAGAGTGATGACTCTATTATCGATCAAATCTTGAATCTTATGTTTTAAATTGATACAACCTTCTGTATCATGTCCTGCTCCTCCAGAATGGTAAGCGCATCGTTGATCTGCTCGAAAGAACTTTGTTGTGGGATTAATTCCCTTACGTCTACTAGTTTGATCAATCCAGCTGCTCTCGAACGCTCAAAGAGTTGGGTACGTGTTTCTGCCAAAGGAGTGAAAACTCTGGGAGGCTTTCTTTCTAGGTTAGGGCGGGGTAAATTATTGGTATTTGGTTTGTTTTGTCCAGGACTTTGGTAGGCTGGTATATTGGTTTGGTGATTTGGTGGTGTATTTTGGTAGGTTGGTGGTTGATTTTGGTAGATAAGTGGTGATGGTTAGTAGTTCTGTTGTGCATAGTAGATTGGAAGTGGAGCTTGTGGAGGTGGTTGGTAATTATTAACGGTGGAGAATCGGTTGGTGTTTCCAATGGCAGAACAAGACCCAAAATACCTTTGTGGCCTTGACCTTGGGCTAAAAGATACAACGGAGACATTCTCTTTTTTTTTCCTAGCAAATCCTGCGGCCATGGATGGTAAAGATTTGTTGGCGGCCTGCAAAGCAGTGAGACTCGTAAGCTTCCCAGTTTTGAGTCCATCTTCTATGGCTTCTAACATTTTGATCAGCTCTGAAAACTTTTGTCCCATCATGGGCAACATCCTTTCATAATACTTGGGCTCTTGAGCTCGAATAAAAGCAGAGGTTATTTCGATTTCAGTCATCACAGGTTGTACCTTCGCAACTTCTTTCCTCCAACGACATGCATATTCACAATAGTCCTCCGTTGTCTTTTGCTTGATTTTTTCCAAATAGTATCTATCAGGGACTGCTTCGACATTAAACTGGAATCTCCAAAAAATCTTTGGCTAGAGCCCCCCATGTAGACCACTGACGGAGTTCTTGAGACGTGAACCATTCTAACGCCTCCCCACCAAGGCTTCGACTAAACAACCTCATAATTAATGCATCATTTTCCCAATACCCACAAGTTTGTCACAATAAGCTCGCAGGTGAGCCATGGGATTGCCAATACCATTGAAGGTTTCAAATTTTGGAATTTTGTAACCTTCGGGTATTTCCAAATCAGGGTGCATGCAAAGGTCTTCATACTCAAGTTCTGTGATTTTCCTTGAAGTTTGAACCCTTTTAACTGCTTCTGAGATGGCCTCCTTCATGACATTCATTTCTTGTTCACGTTTTTCTTCTCTGAGCCTCCACTCCTTTTCCATCTCTTCATAGTGATCCAGCTCCGGTTGAACAAGAAAGCTAGGACATGGTTCAGGGATTGTGTAGGCTGGTGGAATTTGGAATGTTACAGAAGGGTATGTCAACTGGTTAGGCAAAAACGTGGATTATTTGAGACTGAGGGTGGGATTTGGTAGGTTGGCGTGAAATTTTGGGAGTGATTAGTGTTAGGTGCTTGGTTCTAATTTGGTATTGGTGGTGGAGTTTGGTAAGAAGTGCTGGCGTAAGGAGAGTTGGATACAGTTAAGTCAATGGTATGAGGATTAGGAGTGGAAGTGATGGGTCCTGTGGTATGGATCGGGAAGTAGTTGGGTAACGAAGAACTTAATGATGGAAAGTGAGGAGAAAATCTTCTAGTTTCAAGGGGTGGTTCATTCGATTCAATGGCCAGTTTTGCCAAATGTTTGGTTTGTTGAAGCTCTTCTTGCATATCTGTAATTCGTTGCATTAATTGAGAGATCAACTCACTCTGATCAGTGAGTTCACCATTTCTGATGGTCACATAGACTATTCCTGTTTCTTCAGAAGTACCAGTCATTTTGCTTTTGCCTTTATCCAAAGAGTGATCAGGGAAGGATGATATGATTGCTTTAGATCTTGTAAAGTAGGGATGGTCTGCCAGTTTTGACTTCAGCGCAGATCAGTGTTTACCTGTAGAGAAAAATCACTCAAAAGACACATATGTTATTCTTTGTTTTTAACGAGATATGCAAATAATATATATATATATATATATATATATATATATATATATATATATATGTAATAATAATAATAATAATAATAATAATAATAAGCACATAAGTGTCATTTTGCTTCAAGCAGATTAATCCACGAAAATAGTTTGGGTGAACGAGTGGACTCTAATGGAAATGAATCTTTCTGTGATAAAATTAGGAAGGTCGACTTTCATAGAATGCTGTCAAATTCGTCCACTCATGAAATTTTCAGAATCTTTCACTAATAACGGAGAATAAAAATTAAAAAGATAGGGATCGAGCCTTAAGTAGGCTGCCTACGTATCCACCAAGGAAATCAGGCCCGACGTAGTTCGAATTACATAAGATAACTTAAACCTACCCTTCTCGAAATTGATAGAGAGACTAGGCTCGATAAGAGCTTCTTACATACCCGCTTATGGGCTCAAGTCTCGCGTAGTTCTTGATTACAAATAAACTTAGACATATGAGGTACGTTACATGAACCTAAATCTACCCCACACTCCTTTATTTCCCTTTCAATCATAGGGTGACGATCCAGTGCTCTCATCATCTGCACCTTCTTTTGTTTTTCCTTTTCCTCTCATGGAAGAAACATTCCCGAAATTTATCTTTATAATGGCTCATTCAATTTCGGGGATCCTTGCAGTTGCTTTAGTGATATTAATTATCTCTTGGTTGATTTTTGCAATCTTTATTTTCACTGAGGCTGTTTCCATGTCAACCTCAATAATTCTCTCTCGTAGCGTCCATTCAGTTTTGTCCAGTATTGCAAGTCTCCTTTTGGCTGCAACTATCCTTTCTTTAGTCTCGATAAATTTTTTGAACATTAACTCTTTAGTTTCTCTGTCACTAACCGAACTACTGGGTGAGATTGGTGTATTGACGTCTTTTTTTTGACATTCTAGCAAATTGACCTTCTTGTGAATGATGAATAAAAATTTAAGAAATTTGGAGTAAATGGATATATATTTTTGAGAAACTCAAACAACACTTCAAGAATGATTTGGACGGACTTTATTGTTGTGAATTTTAATATATGCTTAGGGTGCTCTAAAAATAATAGTGGATTAATTCTGCTTTAGACAAAACAACACATCACACAACAATTATATCAAGAAGTACACAAATAATTTATATCACGTCCGAGATTTGTGACCTTTTTATGCCAAAGGTAGGCCTAAACGTCAAACATAATGTGATTATGATAGATTGATCCAAGCCATTAATTTTTGACAACTCGAGTTTGGAACACAAAGACAAAAATAACCATTAAATACCAATAAAATGGTATAACATAAAAATGACACAAAATAAGGACAAAGCTAAGATTCAGCTTGAATGTTGTTATCAATCTGCCGGTGGAGGAAGTGATGATGACGTTTCCACGTTGTTAGGCCCTGCTCTAGCATTATCCAAATATTGCATTATACTTTCCATTTGAGCCCACATTTCAGGGGTGACCGCTTCGGTTCTGAGATGAGAATGCCTTATCTAGATCGTCGTCCCAATATCCTCAAAACCTTGTTCGCCTTCTGGACTCATGCTGTTGCAATATTCTCGAAGCCACACCTGATATTCTGGAATTTCTCTTTTGGGACCCTTTCCTATATCTATCGTGAGAATATTGTTCCATTCATGAAGTATCTCTCTAGCTCGAAAAACTTCAAAGTTTGGTCGGAAGGAAACTTCAGAAACACTCATGTTGGCTCGAAGAGGGATTACTTGTGCTTGACCAAATTGTTGAAGTACACGCACCGGAGCATAAGGTTGGAGAGCCTTTAACCCAATAAGCTCGATATAGTAGGACCTCTTGCATATGATATATGCCAGGGAATGAGAGAGTAATGAATATTTCCACTGAATTTGGTCACTGATGCAGGAGGTCAAATATTCATACCAATCACCAGTATCAACCGGAGATACAAACATTTTTGTCCTGTCGAAAAAACTGTCAATATGATTTAAGTTGCTAAAGCATATGTCATCCATTTTTTTACGCTTGTGAAAATGTTCCAGTGCCCACACTTGTAAAAGAAGGTTGCAACCTTCAAAGAAGTTTGCTTCCCCTCTCTTACATTTCCCAAGAGTTCGAAATATTTCTGCTAAAATCATGGGAACTAGAGTGAGCTCTTTGCCATTAACACCTTCAAAAGGTACACGAGCCACTGAACATATGCATGTGTTGATATGACCATGTTCTCGTGGAAACACTAAAGTTCCTAGTAAAGCCACAGTAAATGCGATAGGGCGTCTAGCTTGCCAATGAACAAGAGTGCAAGAGAATTCCTTCCTAAACACTTTGTAACTATTTGTGCGTCCATACCTTTCATATAAGTAATCTAGAGAAACCCAATAATGTTCTAAGCATCGAAGTTTCTTTTCACTTTTCAGTCCTAAGTAGCGAAGAGATTTCTTCCCTATTTGAGTGTGAGGAATAATTTGACCTTTTCCTCGAAACTTCAAACTGGTAAAATAATATATTTCCTCCAACGTAGGTGTTAGTTCAAAGTCTTTGAACGTGAACACAACACAGTCTGGATCTCAAAACTGAATCAATGCTCTAATCATATGTTTGTCTGGGTTAACCTTGAATAGCATAGGGAGGCACCCCAACCTTTTTGCAATTGCTAATTTTTCACTTGGAGTAAAATTCTCCCACCATGTTTTCAATTTGAACGGAAAACCCTCGACCATCCTAATTTTGGGCACTTGAGGGACTAAATTCATCTGAAAATTTAAAAATAAAATAAAATAAACATATAACGTCCAAACTCACTATGTCAAATTTAGGCTTGGATCCATCTATCATTATCACGTTGCACAAAACATGTTCGATGGTCGTTGGGTCGTGAAACCCATTGACGTAAGGGTGGACTTCTTAAATGTTGAATCTATACCCTTAATCGATCCATCTAAGGCATATGCATGCATGACTTAAATTGAGGGGTGATTTAGCTCTATCTTATGTTTTCTAAGATTTGGCTTTCTAGACACAAGGTTTCCGAGTGGACAACTCGAGTGAGAAGGCTACACGGTTACGCGGAAGAAGATCCGGACACCCCGCGCATATACCAACTCTCCTAACTTTAGGAACTTTGAAAGAAGTTTGCGGGTGCACAAAGCACACCTCGCGTGTACGTGTGATAATGTGAATTTCCAATAAGTGGAGAAATATTAACGGAATGACAGTTTATAAAGCAATATAAATATACAATTGATGAAAATAATAACAAATAAACAGTTTATATCACATAAGCATAAAAAATAAGGCATTAGGCATGTAATATAAGCAAACAAATAAGCATATGCCAAAAACATTAATAATTAATCTAAGTCTATTATGGTTAGAACCTATTAAATCCCCAGCAGAGTCGCCATTTCTGTTATGCGTAAGTTATCTATTCTTAGAAAAATCAATTTTTGAATTGTTCTAAGTATAAAACGATTTAGAAGAATATTTAGAAAGAGTCGCCACTTAATTTTTTTAAAGAAATTAAGAAAACTTGAATTAAAAAGATTTTAACAGATTAAATCTTAATAAATTTAGAGAAAACGGGTAAAAGGTTCTTATTTATGCTTCAAGAAGGTTTTTAAGGCATTTGAAGCACCCGCTAACACATAGTTATCCTATGACTTAGGTTAATTTTTATTTTTTTTGTTTACTTATTTATCTTAGAAACATGATTTAATATAATAATTGACAATATTAGATCAACTTTAAGAAGATATTTAAACAAATATCAGTTTTTATTTTTATTTTTTATTTTATAACAAAATGGAACTTTCATTAAAGTTTTTTTTATGAATTAATTATAAGTAAGTAGAATTTAACCAAACTAAAATTATTTTTTTTCATCACTTTAAAAAGATAATAACTCAAACCAAATTCATTAATTTAAGAATGAAAACCCCCTTTTTAATTAATGGAAGAATAACAGATTCAGCTATCTTAAAATAATATTTTTTAAAATAATAAAATGGTTAAGCGAAAATCATTAAAGAATATATATCTTTTAAGGACATAGGTTTGACTTAACTAAAGATATTAATTTTACTCATATACTTGACATAAAAATAAATTATTGTAAAAGATGTTTATATAGTGAGTCTAACATAAAATAATTCATCTTTTGGATATTTAAGTAAGTTAAGTATCAATTCTAAAGTTAGAGTTAAATGAAATTAGTCAACATAATCAAAATAATCAGGAGAGTGAAAGAGACAGTGAAATTGGCCCCTTTCTTGGGCCAATTTCGCTGCAAGTTCTGGGTTTTAACCCAATCCCATTTTTGTATAAATAGACTGTATATCGGTGTATATGGACGTATATATCAGCCCTCTGCGTGTATATCCTGCTTTCGAACACCTGCATTTTACCTCATCTCTATATTCCACATTTTTGTCTGCATATTTGCTGCCATGAACCTGTATAACAGTGTATAACGAACATATACAATATGTGTATTGCTGCTCAAATCTGCAGATTTGATTTTTCAGCAACACATTTGCTGGTTCTTCCCACCTGTACGCTGGTTATGAGGGGTGTATGACTCGAAAAGATGTTTTGAGCTTTCATGGCTCAAATGAAGGATGCAAGAGAGAAGTCCTCCATGGATTCGGAAGGAGTGAAGTCATACAAACAAAAGAAAGAAAAAATATGAATCAATGCCAAACCAAACTGCTGGAACTAACAAATGTAAAATCCAAACCAAATACACCATGCAAAGAAAAGTAAAAACTTATGTCTAGCTTGGAAAGATACACAGAATATTATTATGAAATAAAAGAAGATAATTACTTAAGAAGATAGTATATA